TGATGTGCAAAATGTCCAGTGTATGACTTGCACCATTAAGAACCGAAAAAATGTTAGTAGTTTAATCATGTTGTTAAATGTCAGGACAGCAATTGCATTTAAGTCTCCCCTGTCCTTTTCAAATATCTCATTAGCTCAGTGACATTCAGAGTGTCTAGTATGTGCCAAGCACTGTGCTGGACATTGAGAGGCACAAAGATGAAGAAGGCACATCAGTCACTTCCATTCTAGTATGGAGAGCAGACACTGAAACTAGTTATTTTAATATAATTTAGTGAGTGGTACAAAGAGACTAACAGAGGACAATGGGAACACCAACAGACATTCAGTGCCACGTGGAAGGTCCAGGAAAGCTTTCAAGAGGCAATGCCTGAGTGATCGTCAATGAGAAATCAGGGCTAGTCAAAAAAACTGAAGGTAGAATGAGTATTCCTGGCCAGGGGAACAGTTTATCAAAGGCAGAGAGGCATCAACTAGCCGAGTTCACACCAGTTTTGCAGGCCCAAGTCTTGAAAGTACTCCCATAAGGCCACATGTTCACCTGGCTTGTTTCCTATGTCTTTGCCCAGAATAAAAGGGCTTTTCCATTTTAAAACAAACAAACTTCTAAATATGTATATGTCCCTCAAATTCAGAATGGTTTCTATTCAGCTCAGTTATAACCAATATCACAGCCACAGTCCTTGCCTAAGGAGAGGGGCGAAGGAAATGACCTCTTGCTTGGGTGCAGGGTTTCCCAACAAGCTCTATTGGCATTTGAGACTAGAGAATTCTTTGTGGTGGGGCCTGTTCTGTGCATTGTAGGATGTTTAGTAGCAATGAGGCCTCTACCCTCTAGATGCCAGTGGCACTCCTCTAGTTGTGACAGCCAAAACTGTCACTAGGCGTTGCCATATGGTCCCTGGGGGAGTGGAATGGCCCCACTGAGAATCACTGCTTTATTGCCACCTAGAGCTCTCCTTCCTTGCCCCGTCTTCTCTAGCAGTTGATGAAGCTGTCACCATTTGGTGATGTCACCATAGATTCCAAGAGTATCAGACTGCTCCCATTATATCCCCATCAGTGGTTAGGATAACCAACTAGCCTTTAGCCTTTAGCCTAGGTGGAAGTGTTGGTGGTGATTATATTGATTTTAGGCACAAAAGAGATTTGCAGTAAGCAGATTGAATGCCAGAGGGGCTTGTACAGGATATAGAAAAAATAAGTGAAGGAGGTCTTTGGAGTTTTTTTCAGTCATCCCAAGATTGTTGCAAGGTGTCTACATTCCTAGTCTCGGCTGCAGAGAGAATGTATTTTGGCTAAGGTGCTGAGAAGGCAGAGAGAAGGGGCAGCCCAAATCCCAAAAGATGAGATTTCTGGTGATTGGCTAACAAAAACTCCACCCTTCCCTAGACAAAACAGAGAAGGGTCATATAGAGATTTACCTACAAATTACCCAAAGCTGTATAGTCAAACTTCGATCATCAACAGTTGTGGCTGGATTATCCATAGGCAGATTCTTGTGAGAAACAATCCCCTAATTTTCTTAACTGAGTCTTTTATGACTGTGTCACCATCACTGTTGATACTTGCTCCGGCCTGTAGTGTAGCCTGCATCCCAGAAGGAAATAACCTGAATCTTAAAACACACCTATGTCTCCTTAACATAAAAGGATGGGTGAACCAGTGCGTCAACAAGCTCATAGAACAGGAAGGTGCTGTTTTCAGTGTTCTTACCAATTGGGGGAGGGGGCTCAAGAGGGGAGTGGCAGAGAGGAATGAATGGGGGTAGGAATAGGGGGATATAAGTTGTGCCCTCTGTGTCATCACAAGAAGATGTATCACTCCACACCCAAGGATGAGAGATGTGGAACAAAGCAGAGAGAGGCAAAGGCCAATGGCCCCAAATCCCAGACTAGGGCCCAGGCATACAAGTCAGCATTATTCAACAACCTCAGTAAAAAAGAAAAAAAAAACATGCTTTATAGGATAGGACAAGAATGGACAACACAGCACCAACTTGTACCCTACTCAAAGAATGAAAAGTCTAGACAAGTAAAAGAAAGCAAACCCAAGCCCAGCAGCTAAAGAGCACTTGAAAAGCTGACATACAAAGAAATTCTGTAAATGCTGAGGTAAAAGGAAGAGAGAGCACTCAGAACCAGGTAAAGTTCCCTGGAGGTGTTTCAGCCTGAATTAGAAATGGTCAGGGCTGGGCTGAGAATATCCAGCCAAACATGGAATTAATTCCTTCAGTCTCAGCTCTGGAACCAAGTTCACCTGCCTGGCCATTCTTCTGGCCTGATAACTCCTCCTAGAAATAGCCCTCTCCATGGTGCCATTCCTCTTGAGCCAGGCTACCTCTGGCTACTCTCTCCTTTGAGAAGTTGCATGGATTCCCCACTGTCACTAGAGGGCTACTTAAGTAGTGGGGGCGGGGAGAGGAGTCACTCATAAACCCCCACAGAATGAACAGGGGCCAGTAGGCATTGGTTAGAGTACAGGGAGGAGCAGCAAAAACGAGTCTGAATATGTGCCTTGAGATGAGTGGGCAGTGTCCCAAGGAAGACTGAGCCTGTTCTGGGTTTCCCTTGGAACCAATTTAGAAACCCTTGACCTCTTAGGTGGAGGCATTCTGGAAAACCCAGACCAAGCTCTATTACCTGGCTGGCTGTCTCCTCTCCCTCACTCTAAATTCTGGGCTTCCTTGGAGCTCAGCCTGGGTACCCTGCTCTTCCCTTTCTGGGAGAGCTCACCAGTTCCATGTCTTTTGGAACCACCTTAGCTATCCTCACACTGATGATGTCCAAATGTGAGCCGCTAGACCTGACCAGCCTTCCTTATGAATCCACACTCACATCTCCAACTTTAGTCTCAGTATCTCCATTTGCTGTCTCTTGAGAAGCTCAAAGCAAGGTCCTGGGTTCCTCCTCAGACCCATGCCACCTCCTCTTACCTCAGTAGATGGAATCACCAGCCCCCCACTTGCTTTCACTGGGAAACTGGCATCCTGGTTAAATCTTCCCTCTCCTATACACCCTCACCCCCAGCATCCAATTCATTAACAAGTCCTGTCATTTCTCCAATTTAGCCCTGGTTTCTTTTTTCATACACTCAATCACAACTTAAAGTTATTTTATTCATTTCGTTGTTGTTGGTCTCTCTCACTGAAATGAGAGCTGGAGGTGAAATCTTACTTTTGCTCACCAGTGCATCTCCTTTTAGCCCAGTGCCAGCAAGTGAACATTAATGAATGGTGGTTGAAGGAAGGAACTTGTTAATAATGACTTCATCCAGGGTGACACAACTATCCCATAGTTGGCCCAGCACATTCCTGTAGGACCAATTCTCTGAGCTGGGGCAGGCATTGACTCTCCCTGCTTATCTCTCTTTGTCCACAGAGCGATACCAGCCAGAAAAGGCATCCCGCAATGAGGCAACAACTCCTAAATCCCATCTTCTTCAAAGAGCCTTTCTGGGGATCAGAATGGAACTGTCACTGACGGAACTGCTCTGCCAAACGTGGACATGGGATTCCCACCCGGATTTCTTACAGCCTCCATTAATGGTTTTCTTTGCTTATTTAATTGTCACCCTTCTTCTCTGAGATAAATTCAGCTTTGGCCTAAGATGGAAGCATTGCTTCCCTGTCCTGGCCTGGCTAAGCATTTCTACTTTATTGCCTGCATGTTCTGTGGGTCCCCAGGCAACCAGCCAAGCAAGAAGGGCAGCAACACAGCCTCCGAAACAGTGTGGGGAGGTGGAAGGAGCTCTGGACTCAGATACTTGGATGTACCTCGGCTCACACCATCAGATGCTTGAAGAGCCTAAGCAAGCCACTCCACCTTTTGGAGCCTCAGTCTTCTTGTTCACAAATGAAGTTTTTGGCTTCCTTGTGCCTGAGTCCCATCCACCCTTGACCTTCCAGACAGCACTCCCATGTTAACGCTGCATCAGGGCTTCCTGGTACAGGGCAGACACCAAGAGCTCCCATGGTTGGGCACACACCTGGGAGCCCAGAATACATGCAGACAGTGCTCAGGTGCAGGACGTTTTCTGAGAGCGGTTAATAGTTGTTTGCAAGGAAGAGGGTTGGGAGGCATTTGGAATATGCTGGGTTAAAGGTAGCTAACAGGTATTCTTTGCTACAAGACTTCTTAGACCTCTAATATGGGCTCCAAAGAGGGAAGATTTAATGGACAGGGAACCTGTTTTGCAGAGCTTCCAACAGACTGGGGTTCTGTGGGTCAGACTTTGAGGTAGCTAGCTCTCAGAAATCCCTGCAACCTGGAGTTCTAGCACCTCATCCTTTCCTGGGTGCACTTTTGAGGGAAAGTTTTCAGAATGTCGACTGGAGTGGGGGCAGCACCAAGGAAAGAAATCCACTGTCCCCAAGTCCCTCAGCGAGTCAAGGTCCTCTTTGGTTCCCCCAATGAGAGAAAGCAAGGATGATATGGATGTCTGCATGATACAGCCTTCCCCCTTTGAACTGTGAGGCCACAGGGCCTCCTGGGGTGTGCCCCCGCCCTTCCCCCTGATCAAAGAATAAATGAGTCAGATATTGCCCATTTGGATCCCATGTAATGGACAGTGGGGACCAACTGCCTTGGTTTGGTGCACACACAGCCCACCCTGGGAGAGAATGGAGAAGTCAGTCCAGGCGGGGAGAAAGGCCTCCAGAGAGGACTCAGAGGCCTGAAGTGAAACACAATGCACTTTATTGGTGACAGAACAGATGGGTAGAGGAGTCTGTGTGTCAGACACCTCAGAACTGTGGGGACCATTCCACCCAGGGAGGGGACCCCAAGGGCAACAGAAGGTGGCAGCTAAGGCCACACCTGGACAATCGCATGCCCAGACTGGAGCCAGAGAGAGTGAAATTCCTTGGCTGCAGTTGGCCAGGGATCTAGATGGAGGAGCATGAGGCCCCAGTCTTCTAAATCCAAAGAGCAGCTGTCTGTCGTAGGGGAGGAGCTGATGGGGACTAGAGGCGCTCTAGCGATGGTGCCTATGCTCATTATTTATTTGGAGCAGCGCTGGGAGGACTGGGAGAACTTGACGCTGCCACCCCGGTTGCTGCCAGAACTGAAACCTCCTCCACTGACCCCACAGCGACCCCCGGAGCCAGAGCCAAAGCTGCTGCCGCCTCCAAAGCCACTGCCTCCACCGAATCCACTGCCTCCTCCGAATCCACTGCCACTTCCAAAGCCACTGCTTCCGCCGAATCCGCTGCTTCCACCAAATCCACTGCCTGCTCCCCCGCCTACACCGAAGCCACCGCCAAAACCGCCTGCAGAGGCCGAGGTTGTGTTGCTGCTGCTGACCACAGCTGCAGGGGAGAGGACAGTACAGGGATCAGTGCCCAGGACACTATTATAATTAATGACCCTCTGGGCTCAAGATGATTGATCATTGTAATACAGTCTAATGTCATAGATGTTCAGCCCCATAGTTTTAAAACATCATGAGTTGTCCTGTGGTTCCTTCTGCATTTGATCAACTCTTGACACTCTTGGAAATTAATCATAATTTATCCTCCCATTAACAGGCTTCCTATTGGATATTCCCCATTCTACAGACTTATTGATAGTGCCCTGGACCCAGAACAATAACAAAATCATATCTGTTGCCCCTTCCACCATCTCCAACTTCCATAGAAATATTTTAATTAGTTGCTACTGCCCTGTAATATTACTAATATTTCAACATCAGCTCTCATTATCAGGGTTACTTTGGCTACTTACAGATGCTGACAGCATTCTGGCACTCTCCAGACATCCTGTATGAAAAAGCAAGAGAAAATTCCACCATCGCAAAGCAAATTTCCAACAAGTCCATGAGTGAAGGTGATGAATAACACAACTGGAACTGAATTCAGAAGCCTAGCAGATCAGTCCCCTTTTTCCACCCTTCTATGGGCCTCAACAAAGAGACCCTATACACATTAATTACACATGTGCTTTGACTAACCGTGGTGAAAGTGGGCTAGTAACCACAAGTGCTTTTCTGCAAGGCCTGTGGAAGGTGGGGGTGGGGGGCTCTCTCTACACAGCAGTCCTTCATCTCCATATACTTGGTCACTTATCTACCCTCAGCAGGATCAGGGGAGTTGGAATTGGAGACCCACCTGCACTCCTCGCCTTCTAGCAGCTTGCGGTAGGTGGCAATCTCCACGTCCAAGGCCAGCTTGACATTCATCAACTCCTGGTAGTCACGCAGCAGCCGGGCCATGTCATCCTTGGCCTGCTGTAGGGCAGCCTGCAGCTCTTGAAGCTTGGCATTGGCATCCTTGAGAGCCATTTCCCCACGCTGCTCAGCTTCCGAGATTGCTGCCTGAAGGTTGGCATTCTGGGAAAGAAGGAGGTAGAAGTGATGGGCCTAGTAGGAGAGTCCCAGATAATCTATTCTCTGAGTCTTAGAATAGATTATCCTAGAGCAAAAGTTAAAGTCAGGCAACATCATCTCTTCGATAGCACTTCTATCTTGTATTCATCCATGGAGATATTTCTCTTGTGGATTACCAGCCATCTAGACTGGCTTGGTGTTTGAACTCCCTAGAAGCCACTGCTGCCTGAGATGAACCCAGAAGTCCATTTCAAACTGTGAATCCTGATATTCTAGCCCACACCCCTCACCAGTCATCCCAGGCACTAGCATTCATTACCATCCCACCTGCTTCTTAACGTTCTCAATCTCGGCCCGCAGCCTCTGGATCATCCTGTTGAGCTCCATGATATCACTCTTGGTGCTCTTCAGGTCATCCCCATGTCTGCCAGCTGTGGTCTGCAGCTCTCCCAACTGAAGAACAGAAGGGAAAAGAAGGTGTTCATGCAGTTTTGCCTGATTTGTTTCTCTATTTCTAAACCCACCCAACCTTGAGGTGCTTAGTAAGCATTTGTTAAAATGACATTGAGTTATGTTTCAGCAGAGACATCTCTGAGGCAGCAGGGAAAAGAACATCTAGTTTGTCATGATAGAAGGTTCTTCTATCCTGCAGTCCTTGAGCAGGCTAGAGTCAGTCCCATGTGTCATGGCAGGGGACAGTGAAACCACCTCCCCCAGGGGCAGCACTTTCTAGAAGCTAAACAACCAACCATTAGAGGGATGTCTTCAGAGAGTAGAACCAAGAGGGGTCTACCCAGTGACACTGGGAACTCATCACCCAGCAGCCCCACAGGCCTCAGACTCCCTGAGGCCCTCAATGGATCCTCTGAGAGGTGCCCAGCTCCCACCTTGGTCTGGTACAGGGCCTCAGCCTCGGCCTTGCTCCTCTGGGCAATCTCCTCATACTGGGCCTTGACTTCAGCAATGATGCTGTCCAGGTCCAGGCAGCGGTTGTTGTCCATGGACAAAACCACAGAAGTGTCACTGACGTGGCTCTGCATCTGGGACAGCTCCTGCCAACACAGAGAGATATGCTCACTCTCGGGCCTCTACAACAAGAGGCCCAGAGAGACTCTTGATTAACAATCCCATTCACTGACTCAGCTCTGAATGTGTACTCAGCCCCATCATGTTCCCTAGCCCCTGAGAAAACCCCATGTCTGCAGCCCATCCTGCAGAACCCTAACAAGAAACTTTATTTCTAAGCTCAGTCTTTCCAGGCTTTAATACTAAATGTCTGAGCCTCAAATCTGTAAACATCTCACCCTCCTTCTCTCTCCCTCTTAGTAAGAAACATCTTTACCATATCATAGAGGGTCCTTAGGAAGTTGACCTCATCCATTAAGGCATCCACCTTGGCCTGAAGCTCTACCTTATTCATGTAGGTGGCATCCACATCCTGAGAAAGAAAGAAGCATGGAGGCCTTATTCTCCCAAGGACCAAACAACAAACCATGATCACAGCAAGAAAGAATCAGGAGGACCAAGGCTGGTGATTGATTGGTCCTTGTCTGAGGCTGGTCTCCACATAAAGAAATGATTCACATCTCACTGGGGAGGTTTAAGTTCAACCCTATTCAAAAACTAAAAACAAATGAACTGAATCACTGAGGAATCTTTCCAGACTAAGATGAACCTGGTTTCTTTTTTTTTTTCTCCAACTGTCTGAACTTGGTGGCTCTGTAGCAATGGAGTAAGGAGATTTCCTCCAAAGCAGCCAGAAATCTGCACCTACAAGCCCCAGGAACTTCATACACAGCCCTTACCTTCTTTAGGGTCACAAATTCATTCTCAGCAGCTGTACGCTTATTGATTTCATCCTCATATCTGTAAGAGTTAAAAAGAAATAACTGAGGTTGAATTTTGAGGTAGTCATAAACACCACTCTTCTCTGAAACTCTGAAAGCTCATCTCTTCCAGCCCTCTGTCCCTCTCCCAACCCACTTAGATGAACATATCCTTCTTACTACCTCCCTATTAGTTAAGAGGGCCAATCATTCAATTTGTCCATGCATACTATCTCAGTTTTAACACTGTAAGTCCCTTGTCCTGGGCAGACCAGGATGGTTGGTCAACACACCATGAGTTGTCCCATCATCCTCCAGATCCTAGAACCAGGATCTTCCCCAACCTGGCTCCTGAAGAAGTGCTCTCTCAACTCTACACTCATCCTGCTTGCCACAATTTCATTTGTAAAGGACTATCCTTAAGGAAGGAAGTTGAAAAGGGAACCTAATGAACCAAACTACCCCCTATGACAATAAGGAGAGGAAAATAGACTGATACTACTGGCCAGCAGACAGGAGGAATGCAGTAAGGGCTGGGACTCTGAGACAGGTTGGCCCATGGCATCTGCCCACTCCTGCTCTTGTCACTCACTTCTTCTTGAAGTCCTCCACCAGGTCCTGCATGTTCCTTAGCTCTGAGTCCAGGCGGCCTCTCTCTCCCAGGATGCTGTCCAAGTAGCTTCGCTGGGAGCTGATATAGTTCTCAAAAAGGGGTTCAAGATTGTTGGTGCCTGTGATGGAATTGGTGCCCTGTTGTTGGAGCAAGTTCCACTTGGTCTCCAGAACCTTGTTCTGTTGCTCCAGGAACCGTACCTGCAATGCATTGAAGAAAACATCAGGCAAAGGATCAGAGGGGCCTTGGCTCAGGTAAGACAGGTGTCTGTATCTGCCCATATCCCAGCACAAAGGCCTAGAAAGGACATGAAGATAGGCTTCTACTGTAGCTGGAGAAGATATGGTCAGACAGTCCCATCAGTCAGGCTACTAAGGATGCAGCATGGTTTGGAAAGTTACAGAAGGAGGAAAGATGGACAAGGAAACTGAAATGAGCTCTGCCTGGACATAGAAGTAAAGATGACCCTTCAGTGTTCCCAGGGATTTTGTGACTCTATCATAACTTCCAAAAATACACTGCACTCTGCAAAACTGTACTTAACTGTCCCTCATCTAGGGGCTCCATTGACACTCCAGTTTTCAAGGATGTGAGTCACTGGGAACTGATACTGATTGAAATGCCATAATCATCATGACAGGAGAGCGATAGCCAGTGTGAGCTATCCTAGCCTGGAAGTCACTGACCATCCCTCTCTTTCTGAAAGGTTGATTAGGGGTGCAGATGAGGTTGTCAGCTTCTCTGCAGCCCTTGGGACTAAGGTTCTATGTAAGCCTCTTTAATCCCTTCTCTTGGGCACCCACCTCCTTTGCCTGGCACAGAGACATAGAGGGAACAGGTCCTCTGGAAAGCCTCAGAGAACAGCTTATGTTTGAAAAGCCCCAGTTCTGTGTCAGACCTTTCCTTGCCAGTGGTCAATGCCCTGGCCATGAGCAGAGAGTCAGATAAGCAGGACTTGGGGATGTCTGAGTCCAAATAGAGAACCACTATCTTTCCTACTCACATGTTCATGTGGATAAACTTATTGGCTCTACACATGTTCACAGACCCTAGAATGCTTCCTAACCCCACCCTCTCAGCCTCACCCATCCAGAATTTATCCTAAACACTGTGTCTAAATGTCATACTCAAAGTTCTCAGCCTAGAAATGGGGTCCAGTCAGAGCTTCATCACCTTGTCGATAAAGGAGGCAAACTTGTTGTTGAGGGTCTTGATCTGCTCCCGCTCCTGGGCCTTGACCTGCCCAATCTGAGGGTCGATCTCCACATTGAGGGGCTGCAGAAGGCTCTGGTTGACAGTCACTTCCTGGATTCCCCCAGGAAAGCCACCAGGGCCAAAACCACCAGGACCACCAAAGCCACCAACCCCTCCAAAGCCACCAGACCCTCCAAAGCCACCAGCTCCACCAAAGCCACCAGCTCCTCCAAAGCCACCAGCTCCTCCAAAGCCACCAGCTCCTCCAAAGCCACCTCCCATTCCTCTGCCACCACCAAAGCCACCTCCATAGCCACCTCCAAAGCCACCTCCAAAGCCACTGCCACAGCTGCTACGCCCTCCCCCAAAGCCACCAGTCCGGGAACCACCAGCCACACTGATGGAGATGCTCTTGTTGCCACCCAGGTTGTAGAGGCTGCGACTGCCAAAGCCACCTGCCCCGCTCCGGAACCCACAGGCTCCTCCACTGGCTCCCCCTGAACGGGCCACACAGCTCATCCTGCTGCTGCCGCCGGAGACCACAGCAGAGCGGCCAGAGAAGCCCTGGCTCCCGCTGCTGAAGGATTTCTTGCAGACTTGTCTGTTCATGGTGAGAAGACTTGGTGAAGGAAGAGTTCTAGAGTGCAGCAGGGAAGCCTAGAGTCAGAGGAAGAGGGAAGAACACTGAAGACCTCTGCAAGATAAATCCCTTTATATACAGCTAAGAGGTTGCTGGGCTCAAATGAAAGAGAGATAATTAATCCCAAATAGTCATGGGTTGGGTTTGCCTCCAAGGCAATAAGTTTGTTCCAGGCTGCTAAACACACCTTGAAAATCATCTGAGAGAGTAAAAGTGCTAAGGTGGCAGGCTTACCTGGCAGGGGGTGGTGTCTGGCGTTGCCCCATGCTTGGGCCTGGCCATCTCCTAGCTTTGTCTTTCAGGACCCAAAGGCACGCTCATCTGCGTCAGGTGCCCTTAGCCCTGGGCTCAGCTCTGGAAGGGATGGCGTGGAAGGTGGGTTAGGGAGGTTCTGGTTGTCTGGGTGGTAGATATTGAAGCACAGCCAAGCACTCGGGGAAAATATCTCAATAGAAGGGATGATACATTCCACTCCACCATCAGCGTATGGTCACTGAGTGCCCACTGTGTGCCCAGCTCTGTGCTGGATTTGGGGATGATGTGGTGATCTCTCTGCCTCCCTTCCTGGAAACAAAGCCCAGAACCATCACAAATCTGCCTTCCGGTTCCCCCTCTGTCCCAACTATACTTTGGGAGGCAGCAGCATGTGGGTTCATGACTATCTTTAGAGAAAAAGGGCAGTTAATACCTAAGCGCTTTGAAGAGTCATTAGTAAAATTCAACATGCAAAAAAATTTATGTTTATTTGTTCGTTTGTTTTTGAAACCTTCCCAGAGAAACTGCACACTATTCCACATCTTGGGGTATCTCTAAGGCTTCTTTTCTTGCTTCCCCCATTTTTGGCGCTTCTCTGGTTTCAGTCCAAGTCCCAAAGAACTGGAAATTCAAACATCAATTCTACCATCACTTCAACAAATTTGACAGATTACCTAACTTGTACCAGCTACTGAAGACGCCTTCATGAATAAGGCACGCAGGGCCCCTGTAGGGTCATTCTCTGGTGGAGGGGCCTCGCTATCTAGACTCACCCACCAGCCTCAGAAGGACAGACCTGGCAGAGCTGGCAGCACCACCGTAGGTCTCTGACTCCAAAAACCTGAGAATCTGCCAGCTTGATGTTTTTCAGAGGCTTAGCGACTGGGCTTGGCTTGTACAAGAGGAAAGCCTTCCTGCGCAGCTCTGGAGCCTGCCAGGGCAGCCGCTTGTCTCTCCAGGACAGGTCTTTTTTCCTTCTGTCTGCTGCACACAAGGGCCTGCCAAGGGTGTGGCCTGTGTGGCCTTGGCAGGAGGCTCCACAGAATGGGCAGAAAGGAGGAAAGAACAAGGAATTCTTCAATGCTCACTGGGAAGTAAAGTGCTCTTCAATGGCCTGGTTCTCCCACCTGTCCTTCTCTCCCTCATTTGTTAACCCCAGGCTATGCAACATTCTAGCCCAAGCATGTCAAACTCGCTGCAGCGGGCCACATGCCAAATAAACGAGGCATGTGGCCCACTAGCCACGAGTTTGACATGCTTGTTTTCCCAAAATAAGACCATAAACTTTCCAGGACCTTATGGATCCCTTGGTTTTTAGCACAGTGCTTTGCCAGTAATAAATGTTCATAAAGGTTGGTTGAATGCATTAATCAATTGATGAACTAATGAATGAATCTCACCTTTATACTGAATTACAACCAAATAAAACTGGTCGAAAGCTAGTTCAAATCTCATTACATGAGGTAGCTCAGGCTAATTGAGATCATCTGAACATGAGGAATCCAGACCTCTCACATTTGGTGTTCAGATTTAAGAAACATACATGCAAAATGGATGTCACTCCTCTCCAGTAGGAAAAATGTGATATAATTACAGGATCAAGAATCAGTCAATCACAGAATCAACTTGAAGTTGACTGGGCATTCGAGGTCCCCGTGCCCAGTACCGAGGTTCCCTCCCTAGCATGTCTAACTTACAGCCCTGATCTTCCACAGCTGCTGTCCAAGGCTTAATGGCATGTGAAATTAGCCCAAGGCCACACACAGACACCCTCCTTGTCTTTGCTTCCTCAAAGGAACCAGAGTTTAAAGAATGAACCAAGCCTAGAGCTGGACCAGCCCCTCCCCATGACCAACCATGACCAAGGCTGTTTAAATTCTCTGTACATAAGCATCATTAACCATTAAAGATGGCCAGTCATCTCTACACCTCTGGATCTCACAGGAACATAGCAGGATGAACAAAACCTCTGTCAGGTGTTTAAGTAAGCATATAAAAATTTAGCCTTATTTTTCTCTTAATATTTAAGAGTATGCACTTTAGAGTCAAATAGATCTAGTTTTTAAATTCATTTATTTTTTTAACTGAGGTATAATTGACATACGTTATATTAGTTTTGGGTATACATAGACCCAGTTTTTAAATCTCAGCTTTGTCACTATATGTACATGAGCAAGAGCCAGTTATTTAACTTCTCTGTGCTTCAGTTTCCTCATCTATAAAATTATTAATGGTACCTCTCTCATTGAGTCACTATCATGCCTAGACAGTACCTAGCACATTGTAAGTGTTCAGTCAGTGTTCACTATTATTTTTAACTATTTTGATTTGCAAGTCACACAGAATTTCAGCTTTCATACCTGTCAAAACAATTCATCCAATAAAATGATGATTCCATTTGCAGATAATCCAGTGAGGCCCCACAGGGAATGTGAGCACAAATAGAAATCATATAAACTCCACAACTTGGGGTGAGGGGAAGCAGGCCTCAGCTTCCAGCACCACAAAGAGAAATCAGTGAACAAATATGAGGAGTGTTTACTGAGCAGAGACAAGTTCGGATAGACAGAAGGACAGGTATTTCAGCCCAAGTGGTCATGAGCCAAGGCTCAGCATTGAAAATGAGCACGGTTGAATTTAGGAAGTGAAGACTGTGGGGGACTTTGTCACTTGTGGCTACACAACATCTTTGAACACCCTTCCTATGGTCTGGTCATATTCCACATTGTGATCCCGACCTTCCTGAGGTAGAATCTAGAAAACACATTCCCAGACACTTTGTAGCTAGAGGCCAGGCCTTGCAATCTTCCAATAAGATAGACCCTTATGAGACTTGGGGACAACATAAGGAGATGGCCACAGAGAGAGAAAGTGATCTTTCTAGAGAGCACAATGATGGAGCATCTGGGTCTCCATGGGCAGAGGTGGAGTTTTGTCATTTTGCCCCAACCATCATGGGTACAGCAGCAGTCGTCATGATGTTTTCACCAGAGCAGCCCCCAAGTGTGACTGGTGTGGTTCCAGGCTACAGAGCTCCCAGAGATGCCAGGAGCAACAATGTCCTTTAATAAATTTTTCTCAGTTTTCATTAGACAGAATAGATATTCATATTTGAAGTCCTGGGCAATGGGTCTCTAGGAATTCTTAAACCCATAGTGAATCAAGGTACCTTACTGCCCCCACCAGGGAAGATACCAGCCATCACCAGAGCCCACTGATTCTGCACCATACTTGTCATTTTTTTAGAGAGAAATCACTTGGAGAAGAATCTTTGAGAAGTAAAGTTGCAGCTAGGATTGTCATCAGCTAGACCTAGATCTGGGACCTCCCCAGCAGGTGGTGGAAGGAGTGGGAAGAGGGGCTTAATCTATTCTTATTGTACAGGCAGGATTGTGGAGAAGACATTGCCCATAAGGAAACAAAAAGCAAAACAGGGATTAAAAAGTACATTAGCAGAACTAGAATGTCAATTCTGATTGGAGAGTCATGAACGATGCAGATGATGGAAGGGGAGGAACTGCTCAGTGAGTTGAAATTCTTGATAGTCAGGCTCAATCCTCTGCACTTGCGGAACCCAATAAATATTTTGAGAAAACGGAATTGGCTTACACTCACCCCCAACACCTGGATTATTTGAAGCTTAACTAAGTATCCTAAGTACTTTCTCCCTGGAGAAAAGAGTGAGTCACTGTATTGCAATGTATCAAATCAGTACCTAATAGGGTGCTCCAGCCAGGAGGTTATCCAGTCCACTCCTCCACCTGGAGGCATACCCACACACACACAGTCTCTCCTACTCTTCAGGATCCCTGTGAAAAGCAATTCGTCAAATCTCCTGGCTTGCCCTGGCCAGCAAGGCACCACCCTGACCTGAGTAAAGTCTTCATGATCTAGCTTTAATGCCTTCTGCTCCAGTGGGAGCCTGACTCCTCTTCATGGGATCAGTGAAGTTGGGGTTGGCAGGGGCTTCACCTGCCTATCCGCCATTACCACGGCACCCATCCCTCTCTGGATCTGAAAATCCCTTTTAATGCTAAAAAGTTATATTGACCTTCATATATGTCAGAACTAATGTTTTCAGTATCCTTTGAGAACATACTGTGAATTCAATAGTATCTATACTAATAAAAGCCTTGGTGGCCCTCACACCCTTGCACCCTCGTGCAATGCCCTCACGTCATCACCAGATGGCCGCCCCCACATCATCACAAGATAGTCACCATAAGATGGCCGGCAGGGAGGGCAGTTGGGGGTGACCAGGCCAGCAGGGGAGGGCAGTTGGGGGTGAGATCAGGTCGGCAGGGGAGGGCAGTTAGGAGTAACCAGGCCTGCAGGGGAGGGGAGTTTGGGGGGCAACCAGGCCAGCAGGGGAGGGCAGTTGGGGGCGAGATCAGGCCGGCAGGGAGCAGTTAGGCATTGATCATGCCAGCAGGGGAGCGGTTAGGGGGTGATCAGGCTGGCAGGCAGAAGCAGTTAGGAGCAATCAGGCAGGCAGGCAGGCAAGCGGTTAGGAGCCAGCAGTCCCAGATTGTGAGAGGGATGTCTGACTGCCGGTTTAGGCCCACAGGGATCGGGCCTAAACCGGCAGTCAGATATCCCCCAAGAGGTCCCAGATTGGAGAGGGTACAGGCTGGGCGAGGGACACCCCCCATTGCATGAATTTCATGCACCGGGCCTCTAGTTTATATATATTTCTTTGTAATTGAAGTTCTAAGATAGTATTATTTCATTATTGCCATTATAAGACATAGCAAACTTTTTGCAAATCAGCCTTATCTTTTCA